GTGAGGTGAGAGGAGAGGGTCCGCGCCCGAGTCGGACGGCGAGTCTCGGCCTTCGCGGACTCAGAGCCGGCCTGGAAGCGGCCCCAGGGCCGAGCCTGGACTCCCCTTCCTACCCCAGGTGTGTCACCCGGGGGCGAAAGACGCCTGCCACGGCCCCGACGGGCGGAAATGCGGGCGGCGCGGGAGGGGGAACGACGTCCTTGCGTCCCGGCACCGGGTGCTGCCCCGCTGCCCTCCGGGTTCTCAGTTCCCACTTTAGTGAAACGGGTATTATTACCTGGACGGCACATGAATAATGTGACATGCACGTTGAAAAGTGCTATAAATTTGTGTGATCTTTGGAGAAATGACTGTGGATTTCAGTTTCACAATTAGGCACTCCACACCACTGAATTCTTCCCAAACAAGACTTTTTTCTGCTTAAAAAGTCACCATAGACCAACTCTTGAAAAAAAATTCTGTAAACTAAAAACCACTTCTGCTCCAAGTGTAACTAAATTTCTCAAACTTCTTCTTTCGTTATAATGAATAGTTCTGGGATTCCTACATCAGGAGCGGTTAAACTGTAGTGAGGAAACATTGACACAATGATTTTCCCTGTCCATTTGCTTGAAGTGAGGGTCATACCCCTGCATAATGTAACATTGCTATTTTTTCATTTTGGTTTAGGCATGTGAGGAGAAAATACTCCACAGGCCCACACAAAACAAATCTTGTTAAAACAGCTATTAGGCTGACCATACTGGAGAGATTTATTTATTCTGATATTACTGAGGTAAAAGGGATAGAAGCACAGATGGGCAGTTTGCATGATTTGTTAAAAATCACTGAAAAAAGAATGGTCGTACACTTCTTGGTGATCGGCTTATTAAACCCATGATACAGTTTTAGCAACTCATTCCATACAGAACTTCTGACACGACTGATGGACATGTGTACAAAGGGCAAGCCTTCAAGTTGGTGTTAGATCTTCACAAGATCATATTTCAGCAATAATATTTCCTACCCGATAACTGACATTAACATTTTTCAGGATCACAATAGTCAAAGAACATAGTCTATAAGCTATTGATCTTTTGAAATGGTTTGAGCTTCTTTTAAAATTTTTCCATGTGTTTATAAAGAATACTGTGTATACTCTTCAGCTCTTGGGCAAGGTGTTCTAAAATATGTCCTTGATCAAATATTATGATTGTGTTATTATCTCCTATTACTGAATTTGCATCTTCTTGACACAATTCAACTAGTGGGAGAGATGAGGTAAAAATCTCCTAATGCAATGGTGGATTTGTCTATCTCAACCTGTATTTCTGTCTATTTTTAGTTTGTATAGTTTGGGGCTGTGTTATAATATGCATACCAGTTGATAATTGTTATATTGGCCTGGTGAATTTATCATTATGTTGTGACTTTAACTCTAGTAAGGCTTTTGCCTTAGCATCTGAATAGCTTTCTTCTCCTTAGTTTACCTAGCATTCATATATATATCTCTTTTCCTATTACATGAAAACTTTTTAAGTCATTATGTTTCAGATTTATCTAATGTTAATTTTGAGTTTTAATCTGGTCTCAATCATTGTTAGATCAAGCCTTTAGACTATTGCATGTATTATAATTGCTGATATATTTTAATTTATGTTTGCCATCTCTGTGTGTTACCCATTTGTTTTCTTCTGATCCTGTGGGGGGGTTTTTTTCTTTAACCTTTACTTTCTTAGGGACTGATTGATTGATATTTTTTTTAATCCTTTTACTTTTCCCCCACTCTGGTTTAGAAGTTATATAGTCTTCATTTAGTGGTTATCCCAGAGATTTCAACAGGCAAATTTTAACTGATTAAATCCAGAGTTTACCAGTCCATCAACGTACTTCACTCGGGCGAGGCCCTTCAGTTTCTCGGTTCCCACATTTGTAAAATGGGAATTATTACTTGTACACCACCTTCCTAGCTGTCAAAACTACAATACATCACTAATATAGTTTTATACAATCAGTTGTTGCTTAGGTTTACCCAGAAGTTTACAACCTATTTTACTCTTCTTTCATCTTTAATCTTCCATTTATGATTACTTTCCTTTGACCTAAAACATATGCTTACAGGGACCAACATATTCTCTCATTTTTTGTTTGAATGAGAATGTATGTATTTCACCCTCATTCATGAAAAATATTGTCACTGATAAAGAATTCTAAGTCAACAATTATTTCCTTCTGTATATTTTCAATATCATTGTACTGTCTTCTAGCTTCCCTAGTCAATATCAATTTTGAAAGTAATCTTGAAATGTAATGTTTTTACTCTCTGACTACTTTTAAGATTTCTCATTTGTCTTTAGTTTGTCACTGTGAAGTATCTAGGTAAAGATTTTTTTTAATCCATCCTTTTTGGTTTCTTTGGTTTCCTTGACTCTGTACTGGTGACTTACATTAGTTACAGAAAATTCTGAACTCCATTCTTCCTCCCCTTTCCTTCTATAACTCTGATTATACATATATTCTTGTTCTACCCACCATGTCTCTTAACATTTTTTCATAGTTTCTTTTTCTTTATCTGTCTAGGCTTAATTCTGGATAATTCCATATGTATCTTCCTGTTCATTAATTCTTTCTCTGGCTTTGTCTTCTCTTTGGTTAAAGCAATTCATTTAGTCTTTGATTTGTATTATTTTTATTTATGAAGTTCTGTTTTGTTATTTTTAAATCTGCTTTCCCTTAATTCACATTTTAAGCCTCCTATTTTAATTTCTTAAGATATATTTAGCATATATATTACATTCTATTTTCAATAATTCCCATGTCTGAAGCATTTGTGGGTCTGATTCTACTATCTGATTTTTTTTCTGCTGGCTCTTACTTATGGTTCCTTGTGTTCTCCTACATTTGGCAATTTCTTTTTGTTACCTGATCCTTAGAGCTTTATATGTGGAAGTTCAGTGAGATCTGAAAGGAAGGTGAGCTCCGGGGAGAGAATATTCATTCACTGCTGGTAGATTGATGTCCGGGGGCACTACCAGCTTAAGATCCTTTCATACTAAATTCTCAGCCAGAAATCATTCAGCCCACGCCTGTGAAACCTGGCTCGTATTATGATGCTCCAGGAGGAATTTCCCCCCTTAACTCTGTTCCAGGACTTGAGACAATTTCCCCTGGATCCCTTTGGAGTGCCACATTGCAAGGGATATCCTATTAGACTTCTCACATTTGGAAGGGCCTCAAGCCCCATAAGGCTGTAATAGAAGCTCTGGTTCATCCAGCTTAAATTACCCTCAAGATGAAAGGCAGCTCTGGGGGCTACAACTTCCCTCACCTCCACTAAGTATTCCTTACTTCCCTGACTACTCTTGGACTAATAGATCTTTAATTTCAATTAATTTCAATAGAAGTTTGACTAGACAATCATGATAGCCTCATTTTGACTGTATACTGTCATGTAAAATGAACTGGTAACAACTTTTTATCCACCTAACATCCACCTTCCTCAAGCCATACTCAAATAGTCCCTGCTTATGTATCCTTATGTATCAATGATGAGGGAAACCCAAGGACCTTCAGTGAGCCAACTGTCCAGCACGCCGACATTCTGTGATGGCCACGAAGGTGAACCCTGGTCCCCAACCCTCGTCCATGCAGTGTATCCATGTGGAGATATGCCTTAGACAGAAATGAAGAGTTACCTACCCACAAGTACCTGACCTGGCAGCTCCTTCCATGTTAAGTGTGGGAAGAGGAACAATATAGTAAGTGCTAGAATGGTTTTTTTTAAATAATACCATTAATAATGCTGCAAGCTCAATATAACTTAGCTAGACTTATATGGGCTCTGAGAGTCACCAGTCTATATCAAGGTTTTGAGTTCCAAACCAATAACTTAGAAACAAACTTTCAGACAACCCACTTGTGAGTTAGAGTCGGCAAGTATCCAAGTCAGGCACCCCTAGAATCTAAATCTGTGGTGCCTCCTACTATTGTTCTCGGGTGAAATTATCAGTAGCATCCCTGCCTTCATTTATTATGGAAGGATAATCCTTTATGGAGAGTATTTAACAAGTCAAATTTCTTGAAATCCTTAAAAAACCACCTTGAAAATGTTTTAGCAGAATCTGCCTTTTAGTATCGTCTGAGATAGTATTGTTAAAAGAACATTCTCCAAGTATATTATTTTACATTTAGCAGCAATATGATGAATTTTAATCTAAAGGTAAAATTCTTCAAAATGACATATGAAACGCATTTAACGTAGACGTTAGAGGAGATTTGGGAGCAGTGTCTTTCCCGGAAAGCATCTCGGGTATCCCGGAAAGCATGCTCCCGGCCGCCCCCACACCTTGTGGCCTCTGGAGTCGGCAGCCTGTGTTTACGGGAGAGCCAGCCCGAGGGAAAAGCCGTCTTCCAGTTTGGAGGCTGAAAGTTTCATATCATTCTTAACATCATTTTACCTCCTCTGAAAATATCCAGATATTTATAAAATTCAACTGGGAAGTGATGATATTTGTTTCTTTTGCTGCTAAGCTTTTTAAGATAGTAAAAT